TGGCTATCCTATCTGAACGGATAGTGATTAAACACAGCATTCCATGAACTAGCTAGTGCAGTGATTTCAAATGGTTTAATTCAAACCAAGAATTATTTAATTCCTAGAAAAATGAGTAACAACTGTCTCTGTATGCTCAATTGTCATCCAAAATTCAGAATAAAATATTGTTAATGATTTCCTCAAGTCCTTGCTATTTGCATTTAGCAAAGCAGTGAAATATGAGTTGTAATTTGTGACGAGCAGCACATCACCAAGTTGCTGTGCCTCTGTGCTGCTGCACTGAATCTTCTCTGATGTGAAGGAGAGGAAGAAAAACAGAGTAGGGAGAGGCAGATAACTGAGTGATAAACATGAGTAATGCAATGATTTTCCTGTAAAGCAACAACAAAAGTAGTAATGACACTTAGTAATTATTGTTAACATGCTAGTAACAAAATACTGTTCTTATATTTTTTGTTTTATAGCTCATTATATTCTAATCCAGTATGTTCTGAATAATGAACTGCACCACAAGAGTAACTGACATAGATTGCACCTTAGGTATACTTGAATTCAGGGTGCTGTTTTCTGGTTTGGTATGTAGTGATTTCAATACAGATAATATTTTTTCCAAGTAGCTTAATGGTTATGGGGAGGAAACATTAAGAGGATACAGACTTTGTTGAAATATGTCAAACTTGAAAAGCTAGAGGGGAAAAGTGTCACTTCTTCCTTGAAAGACAAATATGGTTATAACTGCGTGTGTTGTGTTACAGACCTCAACCTTGTATCAAACTTCTCCTGAAAAAGCTTTTACAGTAACTTTATGTGTGGTTTTGGCTGTGCTGTAAGTAGAAACACTACAGCTGTCCATAAGCTGTTCTCAGATAATCCATCTGTCACAGGAATATCAAAATCTCCAAATGAGAAAAGCCACACAGCTTTCAAATAGGAGGCAATCTAATTCTGCTTAACTGCCCTCTGTCGACTGTGTCTTACTCAGTGCCCAGTAGTGCAAGGCTGTCAATCAGTGCTTCAATGGGGATATCAATTAGCTCAGAATAGCTACTCATTTCTGGTTGATTATGGTTGCAAATGGTTTATCTTTAGATAAATTATTCATGAATTATTATGGTCATCCTTTCTTTGGCTCTAAGGAATTTATATTACCTGATAAGTGACCAATTTTTTGACTTTTGTTCATTAATCATGGTACAGTGTTTTGTATTCCACCAGCTCATTTCACCTTTACTTGAAGGAGATGCTGACATATCATAGTAAATAATTATTGCCAGTAAATCTTTTACACTTAACAGCATTTGCTTAAGCACCTTACAGCATCTGTGCCATCTCACCATGACATTTGAGAGAAAGGAGATAATTTTCTTAATAAGCATCCTTTAAGTGATAGATTTTCTTGTGTTTCTACTATTAGTTCTGTTAGCTTGTGCTATCACTTTATATTTAACAAAGTGAAGCATGACTGTTTTCCAGCTTTAATGCAATCATCACATCTGTAAGGTTAAAATTTGCTTAAATCCAAAGATATTGGATTGATTAAATCCAAGAATCCATCACAGTGTCACACATACTTCATGCAGGGACTAACAGTTCAGCCTCCAGGGAGGAAAAACTTAGGGAGTGCTCTGTAGTTTGCAATGATCAGAGCATCAGGATCTGTGAGATAAGTGAAGGCCTAGAAGAATATGAGCAGGAAAATTGTGACGTTAGGAAAAGTCTGGGGAGGGGAAATTGGATGGGCAATGTTTGAGAAAGTATTAGACACGTGAGTTGTGAATTCCTGCTGTTGGGTGCCAGTGAACATAAATTGTAAAGCTGTGCCCTTTTTGTATGTGAACCTGCTTTTATCTTGATTTTTCTGGTTTGGGAGTTAAAAAGACGCAGCTAACTTCTTACACCAACCAGAATGAAACATAGTTTGGGGCAGATGAAAGAATGGCTTGCCTCCCAAAGGAAAAAGGGAGAGAAGAAATGTGCTATAGAGAAGAAATGGCCTCAAGAGTGTGGGGGAGATGTGGGAGGTGTGGGCACAGGTTCTTTTGCTATTAATAAAATATTTTTTGACCAGGGATAAGTAAGCTGTTGGATGACACTGCACAAAACACAGCTTGCTCTGGCTCAATAGGGTAAATCCTCTTCAGTGGAAAGTCAATTCATAAACATCTTGCAAAACACTGGAAAGATGCACATTTTCTTGTCGGTCAAGAAACCAAATGAGGTTTGGATCCAGTGGGATGGAATTTCAATTTTGTTTTGTTGGTTTGCAGGACAAGTGCCTGACGAAAGCCCAGCAGTCACTTGGACAGTCCTGCCTTCAGGTGACATGTTCAGGGGTGCTCTGGGCTCGCTTCCCGAGAGGATTGCCTGTTCCGTGGGGAACGCTGCTGCCACAAACACCAGCCCTTTGCTGCCCTGCCAGAAGTGCTGAGTGACCCCCAGGGTGGGATCCTTGCTGGGTGCAGGGCTAGCTGCTGTTCCTCGTGCCTGGGGAGGTTTGTTTGAGCTCTTCCCGACATGCCCACGTGCTGGCAGCCTGTTTAGAGACTGTCACCTGTGCAGACAGGTCCAGCTTTGATGAGGATGGGCAAATTCCATAACAGGAGAGGGAAGGCACTGTCAGACTAACATCAGGACTGCAGTGTATATTAGCTTTTTCGTGGAAGTCTTGATGTTATTTCTGTTCCAATGGATTTTCTTCCCCTGGGAAATGGTATATTCAAAATGTCTTTCACAGCCTTTTGCGCAGAAATTGAAGTCATATTATATGCTTTCAAAGCAACCAGCACATTTGCAATTGTTTCAAACAGAAAACATATTGAGAGCCTGGTAAAATACATCTTTCTGTCCTTTGGGATTTAATTTGCTTAGAAACAAAACATTCCCCTGAAGATAAATAGCAACAGGCATTGATTCTATTAACTGCAACCTCACTTCCAAAGTAATTGAAAAATATTTCCTAAAAGCACTGTAGCACTTCTGTCAATTAAAAGTATGTCCTGATTGGAAAGTTTGGTGCTGAAGAACTATAGTTACAGCACACTGAAAACTTACTGAATTAACTTTTAATTAAGCTATTTCATATCAAACTATTTTAATTAAGCTATTTTATATCAGGCTACTTTATATCAAAGACAAATGCAGCATTACTTCAAAGAGTTCACACTGAACATGAAAATCATTAACACTCAAAGATGTACCATATGGCTTGGCAGGAACTGGAATACTTAGGGATGGGGGCAGCTTGAAACTTCAGTATTGTGAGTCCATTGGTCTAAAAGAAAACATGCTTCAAAGAGCAAGGATATTGCCACATGGATCTATTTTGTTTTAATTCATTGAGTAATCCAGTCCTGAGTAATTACAAAGTACTTCAAATGTTAAAATAAATGTGCAAATGGAAGGACAGTTGATTTCTGCTAACCGTGTTGGTAAATAAATTATCAAAGTGTTCAATACAAATTTTAGATATAACTTCTTGATCTTGGGAAAATCAAGGGTGGAGAAATGAAGGGGAAAGATGTTTTTTGACAACAGATGATTATGAGAAAGTTCTATGCACTGGCTTCTGTTCCAATTTCCAGGACATTCTTAGATCCTAGTGCAGTGATTAAAGCCAAAATGGTATGTGTACAGTTGAGGACTGTGCCTGGAACATTTTCCCAAATTCAAAGGGTTTTACTCTGTGACTAGAAGACAAAGTGCTTGACTTTTCAAATGAGGCAATACAGACTCTACCATAGAATACATTTGATTCCCTGAGAAAAACACACAGTGTCCAAATGAGAGAAAGTTTTATGTAAAGGGAAAGAAATAATCATGTACCTTGAAAAACCTCTAAACATGACTCCTTGGCATTCAGCATGAGCACTAAATGCTGACAAGTGTTACAAGTGCAACACAAACACCATGGGCAAATAAATCTATTTCCTTTCTTCCTCAGTTCAGAATTCAAGATGCCCTGTGCAGGTTGGCAGGAATGGATCCCTCTGGTTTTGCTATAGAACAGTAATTTTCTCCAGGACATGTGAGGCTGGGCTGAGGGTGGGTGTCTGCAATGGTTGAAATTCTAAATTAAGGATTTCATTCTGCTTTTAGTCAGGAGCACAGCTGAAAATGCAGAGTAACTTGGAGTGTTTAACTCTCCTACCTTGAAAATGCTTTCCAGTTTTTCTGTAATGCAAAGGATAAAACTAGAATTAATTATTCTGAAGAAATTTATAACAGTTTGGGCTTTTTTACTTCCTCAATATTGAGAGCAACTTCTTTTTTTGCATGCGTTTTTTCCCATGACAGAGGTTGATTTTTTTTTGAATATATGAATTGCTGCTACAGAAAAGGAAGCATTTAAAATACAGAAAAATAATCTGAAAAGATGCAAAAACATGTGATGTGACAAATAGCATTTATCGTCTGGCCAGTCATATGGCAGGACTGTGACTGAGGATAGTATGGCAGTTGAGGGGTCCCAGACAAAAATTATAATAGTCCTCAAAATTAAAGCTGTTTAAGGTACAGATTTATATTAAGTATTTTATTTTTTAATACTTGTGCACAGCTTTACATTTGCAGGTCTTACTTGAAGTCTGCAAAGATAAAAGTGCCAACATACAGAGATTAAAAACAATTTTCCAGGTACTTCTGAACTGTCTGGAATTTGGAAGGACTGTAGATATAATGACACACACTGGTCTCAGGAAGTATGGGCAATTCAGATAAGCTTTGAATAATCATCAAACATTTTGCTGCCTACTGCTTATCTTCCATTTCAAACTCTGAAATATTTTAGGCTTATCTGTCACAACAAAAAGGGAAAGGAGTCAAGGTGCTATCATGGGCAAAAAATTGTACAGTCATCAATAATAAGAGGTTTCTCAGTGCTCTGAGACATTTCCTGGTACCTGCACCCTCAGGCTGAGAACTGAAAGTAGTAGAGGTTTGGGTTGTTTTAATTTAATGAAAGCATTTAAAAATATCTTCTCTTATCTCTAGAAGTGTTAGTGTAGAGAAAAGATAAGATTTCAATTAACTGGAGGTGAAATATTGGTTCAGTGTGTTTTCCTCCTTGTTTTTGATTGCTTTTTGTTTTCAGGATAGTAAAACATATTTAATAATCATTATCTGAGTATTAAGCAATTATTTGAAGTCGTGCTGAACTGAACCTTTTTCCCAGCAGCTCTGCTTTGACACTTTGCAATAAGGCAGTCTGGCCAAGTAGACCCAGATTGGCAGGAGCAAGTGCTGTAATACTCAGTTCTCAGGTAAGTTACAGTGATGCTATTTTTATGATGCTTCTTTATTATGTAGTCTTATAAATTCCTGTTAAAACTAATTATGAAGCATTTTGTTTGATTTATTTGCTGGTGTACTTCTCAATTGTAGAGAATATATATCCAAAAAAGAGTATCAAAAACTCTCAGAGCTATTTATCAGCTTTTAAAAAGCAATTCAAACAGGTCAATGATATTTGTGATAAAATTCTTTTGTGATCAGCATTTTGGGGTGGGGGGTTCTATTTGTTGGGAATTTTTTGGGGGAAAAGGGTATTCAGTTTGGTTTTCCATTGTTTGACCAAAAAGTTTTCCTAAATAGCACTAACAGGTGTTTTAAAGTCCAGTAGTTTATTGGTGCTGATACTTTTCAATGAGTCTCCTTACTGTTGAGACCACTTTGCTCATACCAGTTTTGCTCATGATAATTAGGATGGGCTCAAATTAATCAATGTTTTCACTATTCCAAGTCATCTCAGACCATACTTCCATGATAGCTGTTTTACCTTGTGTGCAGCAGAATCACAATTTCCCTAAATCTAAATAAAACCTATTCATCCTCAAAATCAGGCAGAAATATGTAATATAGGTATTTATACATAAATACATAATTGGAGAACTCATCTGTATGCAATGAGTGCTATGCTGAATATAATAAATTCAATTTGGCTTATAGAAATAAGCACATTATAAAAATGCACTGTTTTGCTTGCATTTGCTGTGGGAGAGCAATTGAAATCCCCATGATAAAGACAAACTGCAGTAATATGTGTATGATTGCTGACAGGATCAGAGAAGTTATGGCAAAAGGTCAAGGGATAACTGCAATATTGGTGTTAATCAATTGCTCCCTCTTGTCCTATAAAAAAGGAGAAAGCCAAAATGTTTTATGTTCGGTTTAAAGAGCATAAAGTAAGAACCCCTGGAAGCTGAACTTCTTCACCCTTTTATTCCTCATATTGTTATTTATACATTATTGTTGTTATTATTAGGTTAGTCTTTCATCTTTCTCAAGTAAAATAAATAGACCCAAATGCTTCAGTCCTGCAGCTTTTCAGTGACATTTGCAGTAGAACCCTCCCAGTATCTGCAACACTTTTTTCACTGAGGACCTTGGCCACTATTCTAATAGAAATTTTATCCTGGCAAACAAGGACACAAAGTAGATGTTCTATCTCTTCAATGTGCAGCAAAACTTCTGCTTAACACCTTTTTCTGCACTATCATTGTCAGCTTGGGCTTGGGATTCCCAGAGCTCTCCTTGGCATTACTTCCCAGTATCCTTTCCTGTCCCTAATGAACATGAACCACTTTTTTCTTTATTCTGTATAAAACTCTATATTTAGTCAAAAACAAAGATTAATGTTTTCTATTTGTGTCTGGTTTACCATCTAGTAAAGATGGCTTTTCATCATGATTATTCCACTGCATTACTCTTTGTCTCAATCTTTATGTATCTGCAAATATGACAATAATTTAATTTCTTTCTGCTGAGAAAGTCACTCATCAGAGTATTAGTCTGGTTATAATATCCAAACTTGGAGGAACTTCTTAAGTGACACCTAATTAAAAGTAATATCAGTCTGTAGGGTCCTTGAGGGACTGGTGATATCCTAAAGCAAATGTTTAGCTTGAGATCTCTTTTGTCTCCACTGGTTTGTTGTATATTGAGATTCCATGCCAAGAGATTTGTGTTTACAGGGTGTGATGATGGTGATACAGGTGTCATTGAGAAAGTTCTTGTGGTATAATGTAAAAAACAACTACCAAAGACTGTGCAGCTGCTCTCTATTCCAAGTTCATTTCATGATTGAGTCCCTCTTAAATTTAAACATTTATATCTTGTGTTAGGTTTTATCTGAACATGTTTTTTTCAGAAGTTTGTAGCCACTGGCTGCTGTAATTTACTCATTTCTCTGTAGAAGGCGATCAAAAGCTGTCCAGACTTAATGGAACACTTTAATAACTTTAGGGGTAAAAGGTTAAAAAAAAGAAATCACATGCAGCTTACTACATATGAACTGATAAAACACTAGCTTATAAAATATTTTGCAAATTCAAATTTAGTGGCTTCTACATTGTTACAAAAAATATTGAATATAATTTATTTATTGAAATTAAATTTTCTTACTTAATTCCTCTTGAACCTATCCTATTTCCAAATTTTTATGAAAGTGTGATTATAACACTGCCTATTTATAGTTTTTTATTTAAAGTATGAGTAAGTTTGAAGGAAAAAATCTTCTGGATAGTAAAGAGAAAGGTTAGCAGTGGTAGGAGGAATGGGAGATATTGGGCAGGTGGTTATATTCCAAGATCGAAAGGATGATTGTAACTGACCTATATTATTTGCATCAAGAAGATTTCACCTCAGCTCTGTTCCTTTTTTGTTAGATTTGAGGATTCCTGCCAGTTAAATGTAGTCTTCACTGAAAGAGCACCAGTGCTGAACAATAGACCACAAATGTGGAGCCAGCACTTACTGCACCTCATTTTGTTAGGATATTCCAAATGCCACCTTTTATGTATCTGTGTAACTTCACACACTAACAGTTTATATCAATGTAAAGATCTTTTTTGGTAGACTGAATAAATTTTACAGAAAAAAATCTCTCTTACTTCCTTCCTCACTGTAGGTGAACTCAGCTCTCTATTTTTTCCTCTGCAGTTAGTAATGTATTTACTATAACTACAAATCCAGTCAGAAGCTGCTTTGCTTCGAGCCTAAATGCTCTGAGGAGCACTTGAAAAGCTGGCAGGGCAGTGGTAAGAGACAGTGGTGCCTTGAGCAGCTCCTCTCTGTGCTCTTTGTTCACACAGCAGCACACAGCTGGAGTGTGCTGCTGTGTTTGGAGACAGGTACAGAGCTCCACCTGCACAATTTTCAAGCCAGGATCTATATCTGTAGTATGGAGATGCAGTATAGGTATCTCTCATTTACACTCTGCTGTGTCATCCGGCTTTTCTGGGCAAACACACAGAGCAGAGCTTTGTATAAAATGAAAACCAGAGCTAGGCTGTCACAGGGAAAAATGCTTAACTCATGGCTTGGTAGAAGTAAGGCTTGGAGCAGCTTCATGATTTATTAATTGCATGTTATTAACTGTCAGTTAGTGAGCCAGTCATTCCTGATAGCTATAGCAGCCTGCACAAAATGTTAAACAAGAGCTACAATTCCATAAATGCTTTATAACCACTCCTCAAGTGTTCTAGACCAGGAGCACGCACCCTCTCCTGCAGGCCATGGCAGCTGCAGGCACCCCATCACTCCTGGGGGAACAGCTTCTTTTCAGCCCTTTTCACACAGCTCCTGGTGGAGCTTGGGCCTTTATGCACCTTTTCCCCACCTAAAACCTGTAAATCTACTAAACCAGCTGGGGAGAAAGCCACCACTGTCACCTGCACCCACCCAGGGCTGGCTCCCCAGAGCTCCTCTTGCTGACAGCGCTGATGAGGTGGCTTCTGTCAGTGCAACCTTCTGCTCTCTTGTCCTCTTCTCACTCTAATATCCCCCCGATTTTTCAAATTTTCATTATTTCAACTCTGCTTTTCTACTCAAGTTCAGCTTTATTCTCTGTGTGAGAGTTTAAGAAAATAATAGGAACTAGGCATGTCAAAGCATGCCAAAAAAATGACAATAAACCAGTCTGCTGAGCTGTAACTGAGCCTGACTGCCTGGGTGTTTCCTTGTTAGAGGGCAGAGGAGGTTGGGGGTGGGCTGACTGGGGAACAAGAAAGCACTAGAAGCTTTGCCTGGAATTAAATAAGAATGGAATTATTAACTAAATCATAGTGTCATTCCTCAATGGCAGTCAGTGTCACTCTGGGAAGCAGCCTTCCTGCATTCTTCCCCAGTATACTAAGAAACAAGAGAAAATTTCTGGAATTGTTTTTTTATATTATCCATTTATACTTATTTATATAGCTTTTGGGGCTCTGCAGTTGAAAACAGTATTACAATAGCATTGATAGCATTGATAATGTGAGACTGAACTCAGTGTTTCAATAACTGGCAGCCTTCTGCTATAAATGTCCTAACTCCTGTGTGCTCTGGAAATTGAAGGTATTAACTAAAATAGGAAGTTATAAAATAATTGTTATTGAAGAAAGAAATCCATAAACTTGCAAGAGATTATTTCATTTCCTAAGAATGCAGCTTAATTAAACAAGAGATGTAACAGGTTAAGTGAAACACCAGGAGAAAAGAGAAAGACATCTATACTGGAAATGCATTTAATTACCAGTAAAAAGTTTAAGAGCACTGTAGGTATTTCAAATGTAAATTTTTGTTGAGTAAAGATATGACTCTACAAAATAAAAAGTGGCAAATATTTGTCTGCAAATATATTGTTGTAGCAGGTAATTACTGTAAAGTTTCAGATTGTTCCATACCTGTGACGGGTTTGATAAACAAGTTTCTAAAACATTCCCAGCAGAGAGGGCTGTCAATACCACTTGTGATGTGTATCTTGTACTTTTATTACTCTGCAATTCTTTTAGGGGTAAGATGAAGAGGCCAGAAAATGTAAACATACTGAAATAGGCTCTGCTTGTCACTCTTTTCTTTACTATAGAATAGGCATTAGAAAAAGGTTATTAATTTTTGCAGGGTTGGCACAGTTCTTTTGTCCCTGAAACAATTCGTTTTAACCTGAGAAGACAGACTGGTTTGAGCAGCTTCCTAAAATCTTTCAATAACCATTATGCTTGCCAGAATTTGATAAATCCAACTGAATTTTTTTCCTTTTGTGAGAAAACTGTGTCAGACTGTGTGTATTCTTTCTTCTGCATATCTTGAGCCACCATTTCACACTGTTGATGTTATGAAATTTCTTATTAAAACATCTCAGAAATGGATTTGCATAATAAAAATTGTAGAGTATATAATAATAGATAATATTAGCAAAGCTGTGGCAAATGCAATCTTTTTTTGTCTTTTTGTATCTTCCTTTTTAATGCCCAGTGAATTGTTGATCTTTCCTACTTCAGAA